TCATGATATGTTTTTATTCTTTCACACGGCTCATAGCAATATAAAGAAGGAAATGAAAAGTATTCATCAACCTTATGCACGTTTGTGCATTAGGCAGGCCATGAGTTACATCTATTGTATGAAAGTTGGTGATACCACTGCATGGCTGGTCAAACTTCGGTAGGTGAACCAGAGCTCGATCTCGTGAGCCAACACAATGAAGATTAGACATGTTACACCATTTGGATGTTTACACGGTGGTAATTATTCTTGAATCGCTAGAATATATCCTGAGAGTTATTCCATTCGTAATGTTACATGTATGGTATGTTGAGTTGGTGAACAGGCATTCAGGAATCTACCTTCGTCTATCTCTCTCTCCTTATTTACATCAAGCTTAATAAATGTTATTGTTAAGGAAGTATTTACCAAGCAATGAAATCAGTTGGAAAACCACTGAAGACCTGAAAGCATTGGATAGCTAGCTGTTTCGTCCTAGCATGGGAAGCATAACCTCACAAAAAAGACCGAACCCAGGACCTTCAGGTCTCGAAGAGGAACCCATTAACCATTCAGCCAGGGTGTCGCAGTTCAGTGGTCTACAGTTTCCTATTTCTGTCGGTTCACGATACAGTACAACTATTCACCAAGGTCTTCAGTTGGCATCCGCTTCCCTTCCGACTGATTGACCTCACAGGTCATGAATCCACATTTGAACTTTCGGATATTCATTTCGAAGCATGACCACTTTACAGTCGAGCAGAAGTAGGAAACTGTGGACCAATGGATTCCTACTCAATGACTGAATAGTCAACGCGTTCGCCGTGAAACCTGAGTTCGATCCCTAGCCGGGTCATGGGTGCGTACTGCTGAAAAGTCCCAGTGCTCCCAGGTTTTACATAGTGCCCAACCGATGTCGATACATATGAATTTCATCAGTAAGTGAGATAAGAAGTACATTATGCATCAAGAAGCAATAATACGCAATGGAATAGCGTATTACATCTTCATATATTGAGCTTCGAGTTATATACATAGTCTGTATATATATATATATATATATATATATATATATATATATATATATATATATATACACTATCACGATCGTTCATTCAAAACAATACATCAGAGGTACATTGTGACCTAATATACGTTATAAAATACGCGTTCATTAATAAACTGATTTTATACTGGGCGATGATTGAAAGGAAATAAAAATCTGGACCGCGGCCGGATTCGAACAAGCGACCAATGGGTTTCCGGCCCGATGCCCCACCAACTGAGTTACGAGGTCCGACTACTGACCACATTTTATTTCACTTCAGTAATCAAGGATTTTACCCGACTATCATGTGAATTCGTGATGGATTACTATCGCTTTCTCGCACTCACATTGGCTGCCCAGTCAGGACTTCTCATCCCAATCGAAATGTGACTGAATTAGAGATGGGGAGCATCGTACTGATTATCATTTTGACTATGTAAGATAGCCTTAGTTTGGCAGACTAGTATTGATCTGGTCAGCAGTCGGACCTCCTAGCTCAGTTGGTAGAGCAATGTGCTGGAAACCCAGTGGTCACTGGTTCAGATCCCACCGCGGTCTAAATTTTCATTTCATCTTCAATCAGTACCTAGTAAAAAATCAGTTTAGTAATGAGCAAGTATTTTATAACCTATATTAGGTCATAACGTACTTCTAATGTGTTTTGTTGAACGAAAGATCGTAATAGTGTATACATATAGACCGTTGCATATAACTCGAAGTTTAATACATTATTATTTATCATTATTATTTTTTCCTTGGGTTCCCAGTGTAATACAGGGCTTCAGTAAAACGTCTATATTTCACTCTCTTCTCTCCAGTCTTTTCAACCTCGCTCCACGACAACCCACAAGCTCTCATTTATTCCTCACACCACCTCCTCCATGTCAACCTCACCTCAAACACCCAACTCATCATTTCCCATCTGGCTTCCACTCCACAGCCTGACCTGGCACGTCATGTCCCCACTCCGCCTTCTCAGTATATGCTCGATTCAATCCATCTCCAATCCCTTCTGCATATTTCTTCAGCGATAGCTTCTTGGTTGCTTCGTCACCAGCAAGCCAGTCAGAGTTCCTTGTTGCTTATTCTTATTATTCTACCCATCTGATCTAATCTGATCTCATCCTCAGTATCGAGTGTGCGTAGACAGCAGCTGTTCATGAATGTCCGTAGTTTGTTGGAAGTACTTTTCGTGACGCGCCAACTTTCTCAACCATCATATAGAAGGACTGACTGACTTGAATGACATTACTGTTGAAAGTCCGAATGTTGTTCACGCCTTATACTGAGTACAGTGCAATCGAGTAGATCTCCACACTGATTATTTCAGATTAATGAAAGTCTGTCTTGATGACTTTGCGATCCTGGTTTCGACATCCTCGTCTGTGCCGCCGCATGTAGTTGTAACGACGCTGCCTAGGTAGGTGAACGAGACAACTTCCTTTTGGTTCCTCCCGTTGGTGGTGATTGGTGCTTGTTGTTATTGTTAGTTTAATACATGAAGATGTAATATGCTATTCAATTGCGTATTACTGCTCCTTGCTGCGTAGTGTACTTCTTATCTCGACTACTGATGAGATTCACATGTAAAATGAAAGCCTTCGCATGTCAAAGTTTGGTTTGACATGATGTGTGAAAGGTAAGATAAAAATAATAAACTACTTGCGGTTATATTTCATGTTTCAAGAATGTCAGTGATAGATAATTTCATGAAACATCAATCAGATAGACAAACAGATAGATAGACAGACAGAATCATCGTAGAATCTCGCGTACAAGATATATCGGTTCAAGTTGTCGCACTCCACAATAGTATATACAAAGAACAGATGACCAGAAAAGGACTGAGATCAAAATAAACAAGGGTATATGGTTAGGAAGATAATTTAAAATCTAGGTTAAGTTGAAACATTCAAGCTTCAGAAGTTATCAATCATAATCTTCAATGAACCTAGTTTCAATAGACGAATATTTCAAGTAGGATTACTTCTACCATTAAAATCATACTTTGAGCTATGTATAGTCTCTTGCATTTCACTTAAAACTCATTAGATTTTCAATGTTTCACAAAGTAAAACTGGGACCCCTCACACCTCCATTAAAATTTTCAGAGTTAGTCAGTCGTGGCCTAGAATAGTCTAATGTTAAAATCTCTAACTTCAGTATTCAATTACGAAGGCAGGAATAACCAGTGGAATACAAGCTTCCCCTCATGGTAGTGAAAACATTCTACCAGTTGGTTAGTGTTATTAACGAGCACAAAACTTAGGGTTCAAGGTTTCCCCATCGACTACATCCTAACATCTAACATAACACATATCACATTATAATCCAGTCACACATTTGGAAGATTGATTATTGGAATTTCCAACATATGATAGACAATTTTGTAATTGACACTATGTAACTGTGCACATTGTTGTTATCCACTTATCCCAATGTGCATTCCTTGCCAGTTTATTGATTCAATCTTACTCAGGTTATGTTATGTATAACAACAATTCAGTATTCATAGTCTAGTTAGTTAATTAAGAAAGTTGTTAGAATTGGATGTCATTCACATCTAGCCTATCTCTGCATTGCTCTGTCAGTCTTCGTTTCTCTTAATCAGTATCTGTTACACCCAACTTTAAACAAACGAAACAGTAAGTTGGCTTGTAAATGATGTATTATTCTACTTGGATCTGACTTATTCATTTGCTTATTTTTAATAACAAGGGCATGTGTGTGTGTGTGTGTGTGTGTGTGTGTGTGTGTGTGTGTGTGTGTGTGTGTGTGGAGAATATGCTTTCGGATTTCAACTGCAATAGTAATAATGGTAGGCCGCCAAAACCTATTAGATGCATTCAGATTTGAGCCCATAGGAGTATACAAGCTATAGCTTCACTTATGTAACAGTAAGTGATCAGTGCCAAATAAATTCTGCTTCAATCCTTCATGAAATAAGAATGGTAACTTCATTAGTTTATACCAACCAGAAAAAAGAATAAATAAGGAATTGAATCACATTACTTAAAACTAAGGTGGATAGAAAAAAATCAAATCAATAGGAGTAATATTAATAATAGTGATAATTTACTTGGTTGTGGCTAATAGAAGAATCCAGCACAGGAGTTTCGTCCTATTCAAAACTCGTCGGCTGGATGCACCTGTACCCCAGTGAGTGATATTCAAGTGTCAGTGGGGACAATAGCACTCACTGGAGTTCAGGTACATCCAACTGACGAGTCTTAAATAGTGCGAAACACGCGTCCTGGATTCCTCTGCTAGCCATAACCAGTTAAATTATGATCAATATTCAAACAATATGGAAGCATCCTCATAGGAGCCCATATACCAATAGAGGTCGAACATTTCGATCCAGTAAAATAATGGAGAATTACAAGTACATTTAATAAATAATAATCCAGCTACACTTTAGAAAGCAAAAAACAAAATAGAACTATAAAATAGGCAAGTCTACGGTCAAAAAATAATAATAAAACAATTAGTAAACAAATCCTAAATAATCTATGATGTTATTATTGAAATTCTTTTATTGACCCTTCAAAACTATGATGAAAATAAAATTCCCCCTAATGAAACCGCTTACTTATGATCCATATGCAATATAACTTTCTTTTGAATACAATAATTAAAAGTTAATTCATTACAACATACTACTGAATAATATCAGTAGGCAAAATAGTATTGATACAAATCAGTAGTCGATTTGTCAGTGAATAGAGTGATTTTCACTCTTTTGCAGATTAAAACTCATCGACAGTGTATTCCGATAGAAAATATGGTTTGAATAATTGATAGTATATATATATCATCATTTGTGAGTATAGTTGAAAAGAAGTGAGACAAGGAAATAGTGATTATAATTGCCACCTATCCATCTTGCCCAACATAATCTATTGATAAATATATATCGCTTAACTAGAAAAATAATAATTTTTTTTTTGTGAAAAATCCTATCTCAACTTACCACATATTCAAAGACAAGAGTTAATGATTTCTCTGTATGAATAATATCATGTAATGTGACTATATTTGCATGACGTAGATTACGTAGTAGGCTGACTTCACGTATAGCTGTGCATGGTGCACCTTCATCATGCTCAAGACGTATTTCTTTTAAAGCGACCAATGTTTCTGTCAAAAGACTTTTACCTTTGTATACAGTTGCATATGTCCCCTGGAGATGATAAAAAAACAAAAGAGGAAAATATTGAAAAAAAATACCGGAAACAAACAAACAAGAATGTAAAGACAAGATCAGGTTATTTCGTGAAATGGTAGAAGTTGGAAAGATAAGACATTTGATTTCAACATAATCGATGAATCCTAGCATCTTTGTAGAAAGATCTGATTTGTCATGGTTTGATGCCGTATAGAATGAAGGGTATGCAATGGCTACGGAATTCTAAACTAGGCTAGAACAGCTTTTCAGTGTTCCTTATCGAACTGACGTCAGTTCAAGGTGAAAACTTTTTTGAAGTATATCAGAACAGTAAAATATCAATATTTCAAGGTATGTGCGTAGAAAAAAGTCATTGAATGTATTCGTTACTCTCTTATACTGACTTATATATGCACATGATATTGAGTTCCGTGTTCAGATGTAATGATTTGCTACACAAACACCCTTGTGCGGAATATTATTGTATGCAGGAGAGAATTGCAGTATCTCATTAATCATTAAGCTAAAAAGGTTATATTCAGATGGATAGATATCTCTCATCATTATACCAGTGAACTACAGTGCATTCCATACATTCAAGAAGAACCATACAGAGGTTTTGGAAGCATCGATGCAATTCCTTAACAGTTAGTTACATGACACTTCATTAACACCCACTTACTTGCGTAACCTTCGAAAAGTGACGTGACAGTCCCTTATCAATCACTGGTTAAGCTAATATACAGTAGGATTGTGCTATTTTTTTCCGTGCAGTCATAAGATATGCTTAGTGAAAGCAAAATATACAAGACAAGTATACGAGTATAACTAGATGACTGATATTTCAATAGCATCATTTGAATATGACGGATTTATTAAGTAGGCAACGTCAGGTGTGAGGTTGGGTTTGCATATCACAATGATCCAATAAGCTATGTTATTGGAACAATTGTTTCCTCAAGGTCCTAATATACCAGAAATATCTATTGACAGCCGTTACACAAAAAGCAGGTAGCTTTATAGCGTAAATTTTTACACTGTGATGGAGATGGAGGGCAGAATCATACTGCTGGCTGGTTGGGAGTGTGACCGCAGTAAGGTGTTTCCCAAGGGTGGCTAGCAGCCCCACACTGATACTGCCTTCCTTATGGGAAGGGATATACAAAAGTTCAACCCAAAAAATACCACACTCCCTTTACCCCACGGCAAACCGATACCGGCATATAGATTAATTGTCGGATTCTCAAAAACCCAACTAAAATCTCAAAACTGTCAAAGACTGTGTGTGACCGGCCTCAAATAGATGTCCCGTGGGCTCTGCAGTTACGCACATCCTTAACTTCTCCGTATCAGTAATCAACCATACATCATCCTTACGCCGTCCCAGCCCTGGAGCTCTTGAGAACGATCTGAGTTCACAGAACAGCATCACTTGCCTCATGAAATCTCATTTCAAACTACACATTGGACTGTTCAGCGTCAGTACCCTCCGTCAAATCGACCAACAAGCTTTACTGGCCAAAACTCTGGCATCTTGGGCCATGAACGAGTGTTGTGTTCGTGAGACACTCATATACGAATGAAGTGTGATTATTCGATTAACCTCATCTGACCAATGTGCTTCTAAAATCACCATTCGAGTTTCTGGAGATTCAATGTCTAGTTCCTCACGGTCTTTCAGGTGTAGGTATAGTATTAAGTGCAAAGGTAAAATGTGTACTGTTTAATAGGCTCTCAGTTATAACAGTCGTCTATTCACTGTCCAATTGAATGTTGCAGTAAGGACTGAAAAGAATACTGAAAGTCATCGTTAGTTGATAGTCATCTTAGTAAACCACTGAAGCACAGCTCCACAGTATCACCTTATTGATCATACTTCAGGAGATGAACCAGCTTTCAGATGCCTAACATACTACTGATAGCACTTTTTTTTTAAAAAATAATTGAGGACTGAAAGTGAATGAGGTTATAATGAATAAGTAAAAGAATCAACTCTACACTCAAAAGTTTCATACACTTTCTGAAATAAAAAAAATGTTCACTGTAGTCAATATACTTTATCTACATTCAATCACGTACTAGAGTCATGCTATTTTATTAGGCTACAAGTAAACTAATACTGAAATGAATCGATTCACTGATGTTAAATGTATGTGTACACATCATTTATATCATAACCATAAAGATTAACCTTAGTTTTACACAACATTAATATTTAGGTCAACAAACAAGGTTATAAACTGAGAATAACTATGTCAACATTCATTCTATATTGAATGACTTGATTTAAAATCAATACTCTGTACTTATACATATATACATAGTTCAGCCAAGAGTAGAACAATGGCAGGCCAGTATAACGGAATATACTACTGAACAATATGAGTAGTTAGGAACTATTCATACTGATCTGTAGATTTCGCTAATCACATCAGAATGATCTAAACACCGGATAGCTGTTTCGCTTGTTTAGGGTGAAGCTTAATAGCTGTATATCTGACCAAGTTCAGACTAATTGAATCTGGCTAGCTAACTTGCTATCCAGTTTCTCATGATTAAAGGAAGAAAATGTTACAAGAGAAAAAGCACAGCTGAGGACAGTTTGTCTGGTGTTCAATCGTTCAACTGAGCATTTCAGTTAGGAGAGAAAAAAAAATCCACACTTCATTCAATAAACAACTGATACTATCTTTGAAAGTGTTTACGCGAAAATCTTGCAAATTTCTTATATTCATATTTTTCAAAATAAAAACTATTTGTTTCAATTAGTGTTATTGTTTGTATTACACCGTCGTTGATTGGACCGAATTGATGTCTCTCTTGGCATATGGGCTCCTATGTGGATGCCTCGGTATTGCCTGTCTTTTTAACCATGTATAGTAATGAGGGATAGTGGCTAGCAGTGGAATCCAGAGTGCGCATTTCGTCCTATTTGGGACTCGTCAGCTGGATGTATCTGCCTCTCAGTGAGTGATGTTGTTCCAACCGGGACTTTTACCATACATAGTTAAAAAGACAGGCAATATCGAGGCATCCGCATAGGAGCCCATATACCAACAGAGACTGGTCAATTCGGTCCAATCAACGACGGTGTAATACAAGCAATAACACTAAACCTATACCCGTCGCACAAGAAGTGGCTATCCTAGCTCGGTGGTGTAGTGGATAACGCTCTCGCGTTTGAAGCGATCGTTCCCGAGTCCCGGGGGGAACAACATCACTTACTGGGACGCAGGTACATCCGGCTGGCGAGTCCCAAATAAGACGAAATGTGCATCCTGGATTCCACTGCTAGCCACTGCCCATCATTACTATATTTGTTTCAATGATTGAGATAAAAATGAGGTTTGGCTTCTTATAATTGCTAAACCGGGAAAAATTAAAACAAATGAAAATCAGGAAAAGACTAAACAGATAAAAAAGGCCAAACATAAAGCTGACTTAGAAGCAACAATAATAATGATAACAATGTGACTGAACAATCATGCATAGTCATGTCTAACGTGTGTGTAGCTGTCGTTCAATGGTTTAAACACTCGACTTTCAACCAGTGGGTAACGGATTCAAACCCCTCTCCACCCGCTGGGGTCTGCCTAGACAGGTAGTATAATTAACCTCAGACACAATATATTTGGCTCAGTGTCTAGTACGCGAGTGTGGAGACGGTTGAGTCCACTTCGATTTCAATGTCTAACATGTTACGGTTAACGGTAGAACTGAACTTTAATGACGGCCAATCACTTTCAAGTAAGTACTGACCAATCAGAAACAAGGATATGAAGAACAACGTAATTATAGAGGAAAATGGTACTTTATTTACAATTTATCAATATATTTTTCTTGAGAAGTAAAGATATCTGGATTTTAGATAGGCTTATCATCTTTCAAACCATACCATTGTCTGCATTGCCACTAATCCATATGAGACAATTTCATTTAAATGATATTAGGGAAATTTTCCCTTGTGATTCCTGTAAAGGTTTTAAGAACTCTCTGAGACGACTCCACATATTTTTGAAGTTGTTTGTGTACACTCCAGCTATCTGACCAACCAAGTGCTTCTTGTGAACAATAGCTTAATGAAGGTAACCCATTTCAGGTAGAGAGGCATATATGACTTCCAAGCATCTGCGTACATTGTGGTATCCAATGCCATTCATTTTTGAATAACTGTTAGGATACATTTTTCTGATCTATGATTTATCCATCAAAAACCTCCTTTCTCCGTATTTCGGTCGTATACACCAAGAACCTGTGGTCTGCTAAGACATATGTATGTATAAATACACTGGGGAAGTTACAATTTACCCAGTCCTGTTTAAGTTATCTTCCTTGGTTATGTGTGAGTTTTCAAACAAGACATTTGTCTTTTTCAACCCCATTACCTACTTCATCAAATTTCACCTACAATCTGCTACGTAATCTTCGTCATAATTCCTCAAGCAGTTATACGGAGTTAACAATACAGTAAACGAATACCTTGAATAAATCATCTCTAACCTGATTGGTTGTTTCCAAAGTTTCACATCCATAAAGCTTAGTTCTACCCGGTTAACGATAGAAACTGCAGGTTGAAACCTCATTAAGTATAATGAAATTTAACTGCTTCAGTAATTAAAGTGAAATGAAATAACCAAAGAGTTATACTGAAATATTTCAAAAACACAACAACTAAAGTTTGATATTATTCCTGATGATTTCGCCTGTTAGACTCTTCAATAAGAGCATGATGGGAGCATAGCTTTAGTATACAGTGAAATACGTTTAATAAAGTAATTTTAAAGTTCACTATCTTTTAAGTGCTTGAATCTATCAAAATATTCTATCTATTAAAATACCCGATTGCTAGTGCTGACATATCAGTTCATTAGTGTGTGCGGACATAGTATCAGGGTGATTAGTTATATCAAAGGATCTGAAGATAGTAATGATGGGCAGTGGCTAGCAGTGGAATCCAGGATGCGCATTTCGTCCTACTTGGAACTCGTCAGCCGGATGTACTTTCCTCCCAATGA